ATCGCGAATGACAAGCTTGAAGAAACAGGAATTGGATATGTCTACTTACTTGGGACAAGTACATGCAGTCATGGAAGAATTTGAGACATTGATACCAGTTTCTGCTAGTATTGAAAAGCAACAAGAGCAACGACAGAAGATGTTTCTAGTTCTTACACTCGCTGGACTCCCTAATGACCTTGATTCAGTACGTGACCAGATTTTGGCTAGTCCGACTGTCCCCACAGTTGATGAATTATTCTCTCGATTACTTCGCCTTGCTGCAGCACCAAGTCACCCAGTGAGCTCATCACAGACACTTGACTCATCTGTCCTCGTATCCCAGTCAGTGGACAATCGGGCATCTCATACTATGGAGAATAGACGAGGAGGATGTCGTTTTGGAAGATCTAGACCCAAGTGCTCTTATTGTCATAAACTTGGACACACTTGTGACGTGTGCTATTTTTTACANATTCTTTACATGGCCACCAACCCAAAAATGCTTATGTTGCTCAGACTGAGACTACAGGTAACCAGGGTTTTTCTTTATCTGAAGGGGAGTATAATGAGTTCCTTCAGTATCGAGCAAGTAAGCAGACATCTCCACAAATAGCCTCTGTTGCTCAGACTGATACTTCTATTGCTGGTAATTCTTTTGTTTGTGTTTTCCAGTCTAGTACTCTTGGACAATGGGTTGTGGACTCGGCCGCTTCTGATCATATCTCTGGTAATAAATCACATTTGTCAAATATTGCGTATTCACAGTCTCTTCCCACTGTTACTTTAGCCAATGGGTCTCAAACCAAAGCAAAAGGAGTTGGACAAGCGAATCCCCTACCCTCTGTCACTCTAGATTCCGTTCTCTATGTCCCTGGATGTCCTTTTAATCTTGCATTTGTTAGTCGTTTGACTCGTGCCCTCCATTGTGGTATATATTTTATTGATGATTCCTTTATTATGCAGGACCGCAGTACGGGGCAGACGATTGGAACAGGACTTGAATCAGAAGGCCTTTACTACCTTAACTCACTCAATTCCTCCAAGGCATGTCTAGTTACAGATACTCCGGACCTAATTCATAGACGTTTAGGACATCCAAGCTTATCCAAGCTTCAGAAGATGGTGCCTAGTTTGTCTAGTTTATCTACACTAGAGTGTGAGTCATGTCAGCTCGGGAAACATACCCGAGCCTCCTTTCCTCGTAGTATTGAGAGTCATGCAGAGTCTGTTTTTTCTTTAGTTCATTCTGATATATGGGGTCCTAGTAGAGTCAGTTCAACCTTGGGATTTCGTTATTTTGTTAGTTTCATTGATGATCATTCAAGATGTACTTGGATTTTCTTAATGAAAGATCGTTCTGAGTTGTTTTCTATATTCCAGAATTTTTGTGCTGAAATTAAAAATCAATTTGGTGTTTCTATTCGCACTTTTCGCAGTGATAATGCCTTAGAATATTTATCCTCTCAATTTCAGCAGTTTATGACTTCTTAAGGAATTATTCATTAGACCTCTTGTCCTTATACCCTTTAGCAAAATGGGGTTGCAGAGAGAAAGAATAGGCACATCATTGAGACTGCTCGCACACTTCTCATTGAATCTCATGTTCCGTTGCGTTTTTGGGGCGATGCAGTTCTCACAGCTTGTTATTTAGTTAATCGGATGCCTTCCTCTCCCATTCACAATCAGATACCGTATGCAGTATTGTTTCCCCAATCACCTTTATACTCTGTTCCTCCTCGTGTTTTTGGGAGCACTTGTTTCGTTCATAACTTAGCCCCTGGGAAAGATAAGTTAGCTCATCGTGCTCTCAAGTGTGTCTTCCTTGGTTATTCTCGTGTTCAGAAGGGATATCGTTGTTACTCACCTGATATTCGTAGGTACTTTATGTCCTCTGACGTCACATTTTTTGAGTCTAAACCTTTCTTTACCTTTTCTAACCATTCTGACCACCTTGATATATCTGAGGTCTTACCTATACCGACCTTTAAGGAGTCTACTATAGCTCCTCCTTCACCTTCCGCTACAAAAGTCTTACCCATTCCAACCGTTGGGGAGTCTAGTGTGGCTCCTCCTAGATTCCCTGCCACAGGAACACCACTCTTGACATATCATCGTCGTCCGCACCCAGCATCAGGCCCAGCTGATTCACGTCCTGCACCTGACCATGCTCCTCCTGCGGACTTGTCTCTTCCTAGTACACCGATTGCACTTCGGAAAGGTATACGGACCACCCTTAATCCTAATCCCCATTATGTCGGTTTGAGTTATCATCGTTTGTCATCACCCTATTATGCTTTTCTATCTTTTTTGTCCTCTGTTTCCATCCCTAAGTCTATAGGTGAAGCATTGTCTCATCTAGGATGGCGACAGGCTATGATTGACGAGATGTCTGCTTTACATACGAGTGGTACTTGGGAGCTCGTCCCTCTTTCTTCAGGTAAATCTTCTGTTGGTTGTCGTTGGGTGTATGCAGTCAAGGTTGGTCTGGATGGTAAGGTTGATCGTCTTAAGGCTCGTCTTGTTGCCAAGGGATATACTCAAATATTTGGGCTCGATTACAGTGATACCTTCTCCCCCGTGGCTAAGATAGCATCAGTTCGCCTTTTTCTATCCATGGTTGTTGTTCGCCATTGGCCCCTCTATCAGCGGGACATTAAGAATGCATTTTTACACGGTGACCTTGTGAATGAAGTTTATATGAAGCAACCACCTGGGTTTGTTGCTCAGGGGGAGTCTCGTGGCCTTGTATGTCGCTTGCGCCGGTCACTTTATGGTCTAAAGCAGTCTCTTCGAGTCTGGTTTGGTAAGTTCAGCACAGTTATCCAGGAATTTGGCATGATTCGGAGTGAAACTGATCACTCAGTATTCTATCGGCATTCTGCTTCGGATCTCTGTATTTATCTGGTGGTCTATGTTGACGACATTGTTATTACCGGCAATGACCAGGATAGTATTACTAAATTGAAGCAACATCTCTTTCAGCACTTTCAGACTAAGGATCTGGGCAAACTAAAGTATTTTCTGGGTATTGAGGTCGCTCAGTCTAGCTCAGGTATTGTGATCTCACAACGAAAGTATGCCTTAGATATTCTTGAGGAGACAGGAATGACAGGTTGTAGACCTGTTGACACTCCGATGGATCCGAATTCTAAACTTCTGCCAGAACAGGGGGAGTCTCTTAGCGATCCTGCAAGATATAGACGGTTGGTTGGTAAATTAAATTACCTTACAGTGACAAGACCTGACATTTCCTTTTCTGTGAATGTTGTGAGTCAGTTTATGGATTCTCCGTGTGATAGTCATTGGGATGCAGTTGTTTGCATTCTTCGGTATATAAAATCAGCTCCAGGCAAAGGTTTATTGTTTGAGGATCGAGGCCATGAGCAGATCGTTGGATACTCAGATGCTGATTGGGCAGGATCACCTTCTGATAGGCGTTCTACGTCTGGATATTGTATCTTAGTAGGAGGAAATTTGTTGTTCTGGAAGAGCAAGAAACAAAATGTGGTTGCTCGGTCTAGTGCAGAAGCAGAATATCGAGCGATGGCTATGGCGACATGTGAGCTAATTTGGATCAAACAGTTTCTCAAGGAGTTGAAATTTGGTGAGATTAGTCAGATGGGACTTGTGTGTGATAATCAAGTTGCTCTTCATATTGCGTCAAATCCAGTGTTCATGAGAGAACTAAACACATTGAGATTGACTGTCACTTTGTGAGAGAAAAGATATTCTCGGGAGATATTGCTACAAAGTTTGTGAAGTCGAATGATCAGCTTGCAGATATTTTCACCAAGTCCCTCACTGGTCCTCGTATTAACTACATATGTAACAAGCTCGGTACATATGATTTATATGCACCATCTTGAGGGGAAGTATTAGAATAGTTATGTAAATAGGAGTAAATAACCCTAATCTCATATGTATTAGGAGTAGGACATGTTATGTATATATATATATATATATATAGGGCTCATTGTATTGTGTTTAATATAAGAGAATAATATCAATAATATTTTCTCCCGTGCATTCTCACACTTTGAAAGTAAAACAACGCAACATCCGGCCTTACTTGTCTCTGTCAAGAAGAGTAGCTCCAGCCTCAAAAAAGTCAAAAAAATCAGGGGCAATTTCCATATCATCTGCATGTCAGAGGCACAGATATTGTGAGAAGAAAAAGAGCAAAGAACATCAACATGATTAAGATAGATCAGCAGTACCTTCTAGTATGATAACACGGCTAAAATTATGCTTGTAAAACAGCTGATCCAATGCCCACTTGTAATGACCTACGAAAAGAGTGATCGACAATGGCTAAGGCAAGACTAGCACTAGTTGGAATAAAAATGAGTTAAGAAAAAAGATGGGGGGAAAAAAGACCAATCATCCTTACGTGCAATTTTGTAGTATGCAATCAGCTCCCCTGGTCTTTCAGTATGCACAGGTTCAAAATCCAAGTGCTGTTGATAAAGAATCGAAAAAGTCTTTTCTTAAGAACTGTCAAGAAAAAGCGCCAACAAGAGTTTGATACCGAGCTTAAGCAGAAGCAATTGTTAACTACACTTCACATTGCCATGCCAGAACAGTTATCAGCTAGGCAGCAAAAGGCTAAAGATACAGACTAAAGTAACTGCAGCCAAATGATAAAATAAAGCAAATAGATTCATATCCTATGCAATGAGTAGCTTTTATCAGAGAAAAACATTAGGTAGAAAAAGCAATTGATAGGTTACAAAACTATGAACCTTATATTGCAGTACATAAATGAATATATGGAACAAAACTGTGGCTACTCATAAAAGAGAGAGAAATCACATATATATGGACTTATGGAGAGAGAGGGAAAAGTTGCAACGTAAGAGCATAAATCAAACAATACATGCCTCTTACACTTGTGCTGTCTTATAGGGAAAAGGACAAATTGTGTCACACAATGATACAAAGCTGAAGTAATAAAAGGTTTGAAATGATAAGGAAAATATCTACAGGTTAAATATAAATAATGTATCTTTTCCCATTCCATCTTTTAGCAGATAAAAATTCCTTATGGGCAATATTTCTACTAACTTGTTTCCCTGTACATAATCTTGTTATTGGTAATGATGATGATTGAGTTTTGCTTTTACTGGGTGGTTGTTGATGATCGAGTGTTGCAAGTAAAAACAAGCCTGGCAACAACGAGTTCTTATACTTAAGTCTATACTTCCCCTCCAAGTAAAGACCTGCCTGATTTAAATTTCAAAGATAGAGATACCCCAAACATCCCGTTTTCCCTTCTCAAGTGGTAGAGAAGATTACCTGCATATACGTCAGCTGATCATAGCTCAAAGCAAGCTTCCTGACATCAGGATGTGATCCATCCTGCCAAAGGGAGGTAGATCGAAAAGTAGGTTCAACAACACAAAGAAGACAAGCATACAATAGAAAGCTATGTGCGAAAATAAATGGATACCTGGGATATGAAAAGAGGATATTTTGACGCAACAGATATTTGGTATCTGATGACAACAATGGAAGTACCGGGCTTATCAGCTGAGGCATCTAATATGCAATAAGAAGCAGATAAAATTGTTTTGATACAAAACATACTTTAAGATGGATTTAATAGTCTTTTCCAGGTAATCAGCCCGATTGCAAGCCATAACAACTACAGCAGCCACTGGCATCTAGTAAATATAGTAATTAGGTGATGCACAAATTTGACAGAAATGAAGTCAACAGATGTTGATAGTGAAAGCATGACTGAGGATATGNGATGTTGATAGTGAAAGCAAGACTGAGGATATGAGAATGTATGTACACCTGTACATTTCCGATCAACTTTTTTATGCCCTTACCTGTAACAAATAAATTAAAAATATCAACTATATAAATAAGTACAAATACATGTAGCATAGGTATATCTAGAATTAGAGCCCATAATATTAATAACTCAATGATATGAACAGACAGACACATTGACACTAACAGATTTTTGTTGCCACGTACAATGGGTTTCATTATTACAGGCAAACATTTCATATTACTGTGACTAAAAGCAGTGGCTTTTGGACTAAAAGCTGAAAGAAGAAGAGGAGTTTATGAACTTACTTTCAAGATCCTGAACAAGAGCCCTTAATTGTCGGCACTCCTGGTCCTGACGCTTCATTTGTTCTGAAAATGTAGCAAGATGAAGATAAGGAAACTAAAATTACCCATTACCTTTCTTCCCCTCCCCCAAAAAAATACAACTACCTGTTACCCTTCATACAAAAGAGATAAGTAGCATTTCAGTTTCTGACAGCAAACGCCAGATTTTATTAATTGGGATCTGTTGGGTTTTTAAAGAGATGGAGCAACAAGAAGATTAAAAGAATGGTTGAAATTGTCTCTCATTTTAATTTTATTAACCAGAGGGCTTTAAATAGCCAACTTGAAAACATAATCTGCAGAATAAATATTCAAAATTCGAAAACCTCAAATAACTAACTTATCCAACTAAATTTACATTTAAACAAAGACTCCTCCTATGACTAAACTACTTATTATTCTAGTAAATCATTAATCAGCAGTAACAGAAGCAAATATTCAACATGATCTGTATTATCACAGAAAGGATAAGGAATAAAGCATTGAAAGAGGACATGAAGAAACTGAAAAGGTCCTATCCTCACTGCTCATCCAGGAAGATGTCTCGAAACTTACAACACAAAAACAGAAAATTTCTTAAAAGAGACCAGATCTACATCAACACAACAACACATAACAGGGATGGGAACAACTGGACATTCAATTCAAAAGGAACATGCAGGATTGGGAACTGGACGAACTCTTTGATCTATACAGAATACTTGAAGACCTCACGATGAACCCACAAACCCCCAACATCCTAAGGTGGGACAACACCAGCAAGGGCATTTATTCAGTGAAGGCAGGGTACAACAAAATGTGCGTATCAAATGAAGTGATTGATCATTGGCCTTGGAAACTAATCTGGAAAAAAAAACTCCCCACTAAAGTCATGTGCTTTACATGGACAGCCCTCAAAGAAGCTATCCTGACTCAAGATTTGTAGAAGGGGTTTTCAAATGGTGTACAGATGTTACATGTGTCATCAGAGTTCAGAGTCAGTAAATCGTCTTTTTTTGCATTGTTCAGTGGCTGTAGACATATGGCAAATGTTCCTATCAGTTTTTGGTATTAGCTGGACAGCACCTCAGAACCTAAAGGAAGCAGTAGAAAGTTGGAGCTTCTGGGAAGTTGACGGTACCATCAAAAAGACCTGGCAGATGATCCCAGCATGTATTTTTTGGTGTATTTGAACAGAAAGAAATAGCAGATGTTTTGATGGCGTTTCAACTCCTAATTGCTCCCTGAAATCTATATGTTTGATGAATCTTTTTAGTTGGAGTAACCTTTCCCCTGTAAATGACGTTATTCCCCTCCTAGATTTCATTAGCTCTCTTACATTGGCCTAGCAGGCAAAGTTTTGGTATTGGTTAGCTCATGCTCTGATCTAGATTTTTGTAATTGGAGTTAACCATTACTATCTTTTGTACTCTCTTGCATCTTCTTGAACAGATTTTTTCAGTGCACTCGCTTATGATAGGACCAAAACTTGCATGAAATTTTCAAGATAGACTATTTCCAATAGATCCATTTGTAGAATGGAGGAAAAAAATCCATCTTTCAAGAGGACAATGAAGAAAGAAAAGACTACACCGAGAAACACTTTGCACCTTCAAGAGCAACTATTCTTCCTTGCTGCAGGCTAATCTGGTCAATAAGCAATCTGGTCTGGCTTGTACAATGATTTTCTGCTTCAATCTGTGTCATTCAATGATTTATACACATAGTGAGCAATTAAAAGTTCTTTACTTCTTTCTTTAGCCTGCATCATTCAAGAAGGGTGCAGTTGTATGCTGTTAAGACAACACAAAGAAAGATTATGCAATATCCTTCTGAGAAGAAAAGAGAAGATTTTTGGAATGACATTTGAATTGTTGAAGGATGCCTTCAAGTAAAGCATATGAAGCTTTTAGAAACATCATATTCACAATACGTGACATGAATACAAATTCTTAAACGGTAGAATAAAAGAAATATGTCTACGGTATTTAGATTTCCTGTAGGGAGGATGACTAGATGAGTCCAGATACATACTGCAGCAGCAAGGCGATCTGCATATTCTGACTGTGTCGCAAAAAGCCGCATCTGAGCAATGTAGCAAAAGTAACCACTTAAAACCATACCTAATTCACCATTAAGCAAACACTAATCCAGAAAGAAAAAGAAAGAAATAAAAAAAAAAGGTAAATTCTTTTCATAGTACCCATGTCAGCAAAACCAAGTAACGTCATATGTCAATGTGAAGATGAAACAATCTAACAGTGCAAAGAAAGGACTGCTTGGGTTGGTGGGCAAGTTGTGACTTTTGCTAAGCAATATAAACTTTTCTTTTTACAATTGTGGTTGAATGCATCTCCGCTAATCCACCGGGTACTTAATACCTCCTACTAGCACAGATATCGAGCAACTCTATCCACCAAGCTTAGACAGATGAGAATACTGTTGCCCAAATTTTTCAATCGTTACGCCAGAACCTGGGGGCTAGAAGTTAAATCTTGATATTTGCTTTTGTTTAATACATCAGAAAGAGATAACAGAGATACCAAAACTAAACCTACAGTACAGTACCATAAGTTCTTTACCTAAGATGGTACAGTGCCGTCAGAATCTATTGCAATAGCAGAAAAAAGTTTCAACTGCTTCGCCTACAAGTCATGAGAATTTCAAATGCATAGCCTACAGAAGTTCTTTTGGGCATGTGAATCTCAATTCTTTCCTAACGGCTCACCTTATCTTTGCCAAGGGGAATTTGCGACCAAAATCCTAAAAGAGGAACCAGCTGCTTAAAGTGGCACTTCCCACCAGTGGCACAGCTAAATGTATTGAAGGGTGTTCACTTTAATCTCTTACAAGAAAAGTTGCACTGTACAAATAGGGAAAAAACTATTTATTATATATATAAAAAAGAAATTGTTGAATCCCCTTGATAGTTAAGCTATTCTGCAAGTTTGCATTTGCTTTTTAATCCCCTAGGTATAAATCCTGACTCTGCCACTGCTGCCCACATGGATAGTGAGGATTCATATAATTGAAACGTACTTGTTGTTGTTAAAACTGTTCTCTAGTTTCCTATTTAATAACAAACTTGTTCCAAATTCTACGTAATTCAAAATTAGTTCCACTAATTTATTAGTCTATCAATTTTCTGTATTAAAGATTGCAAATTATGTTCATGTAAGAGAAGGCTAAGGTTTCAGGACTGCATTAAGAGTATGGTCCAAAAGAAACCTAACCTAATGCACCTATTTCATTGCTGGTGATCTTAATCGTACAAGAAAGATAGATCTGAGATAAGAGAACCTGTGTGTAGATGAAGGCGACAGCAGCCAAGATGAGGAGGTACCGGAAATCACAGCAAAACTTGTTCCCTCTCATCGTGCGAATTCGATTGAAGGCTTTAGGAGAAAGCGAATAGTCTCTCAGTGTTCAGTTATGAGTGTTTCATCGCTGGATTTACTTTGCCTGTTCAGTTAGGATCAAGTCAATATTGGTCCTTTTCATCCTCTCTTCTCTATGGGAAATAAACTCCAACAAGACAATTATAAGGGGGAAAAAACACAAATTAAATATTAAAAAAATACCCTGTTTTAGTACAGGAATAATATGCATAAAATTATAATGCAGGGATTAAAATATGTGTTTTGCTTATTTAGAAGAAAATTGGTTAATATATGAGGGTCATTTTGGTCTTTTTAGTTATTTTCATACATATATTACTAATTTCCATATTTTTGTTACACCTTATATTCCAGGTGTAAAATAATACATTTATTGGTTCCTGCGTAACTTATGCATATATTTTTTATGCAGGCAACAAAAACAACAACCAAACAACGTATATATAAGGCGAAATACATAAACGGCTCATTTAAGTTGTCCACAACGATCAAACCGTCTCTTCAGCTAACCCATTCACCATTTAGACACTTCAAGTGACTATTAAGTGTATCAAATAAACACTCGGGTGCAACAGACCACATACGTGAGTTGCAATTGCCAATGACCTGTTAAATGAGCCAATTAAAGTACGACACGTGTAATTTATAATAAAAAAGACACATATAATTAACAAAACTAGAAAATACATCTANTTCTGTGCTCCTATTCCCGTCCCCTCTCCCCTGCCTTTGGCAAATCCACCCAACAAATTAAAACTCATACAAATATAAAATAACATAGTTTAGCCAAATAGAGAACCTACTAAGGGATTATTAATGGACCTCGCCGGAAAAGCTCCTCTTATGCGATCTCTATCGCCGAAAAATTCGTTCTCCAAGCAAAACTAAAAAAAATGATTCTATTGGAATCTTCAGTTTCTCTCTCCATTATTTTTTTGATTATGATTTTAGGCTTATATCACTTTTTTCTCTAATTTATTATTTTTGGTGTAAAATTATCTTTAAAATTGTCCCCCGATGAAGATGAAAGAGGGTGGAGAAATTATGTTCTTATGGTAGAGATAAGGGTGACAGGACTGACAAAAAAAAGTTGTTGTTTTCCGCAGCAACAACATTTTTGCTGCCTTCTTTCGCTGGGTCTGGGACTGATTTTGGGTCGACCGAACTAGGCGGAGCTCCGAAGGTTACCAGCAATAGAGATTTGTGGTGAAAGGTGGCAGTTTCTGGTAGTTTTCGGTGCTTAGTTCGAGCTTTAATGGCTGATTTTCCTCGCCTCTATGGCAGTTTTACGGTGGGGTTGAGGTGGTTTAGTTCATAATAAAGGAAGAAGAAAGGTTTAGTTGCAGCTGCTTTAGCTAGCTACTGCTCTAAGGTTTCTTGGTTTTTTTTCAAAGAAAAATAAAATTAGGCTGAAAAAATGACTTTACGCGCTCAAAATTTTGTTCGTAAACACGCATATGCCTTATCAACAACATGTGTTTACTTGATACACTTAATAGTCACTTGAAGTGTCTAAATGGTAAATGGGTCAGTTGAGGAGACTGTTTGATAGTTGTGGACAACTTAAAGGGGCCGTTTATGTATTTCGCGTATATATAATGCTGAGTTTTAAACAAAATTCAAGAGGCAATCAAACACTATATTGTAGGCATAAGTAATACCGGAAGTATAATGGAGGGATTATTTAGTCGATACAATTTTATTAGTAGATATTTGGCTAATTGGACTAAAATAAAATATACAAGGTATGATATAGAACATGTATTTAATCTCACACTAGATAAGCCGGGATAATCTTTTATTTTTAATTTTCACCTAAGATTTTCTAAAGGACTTTGAGAGAATAGCTTTGGAGAATAGGTATCTTAGTCATTTTGGTATGTTATTCTGAGATTCGGAATTCCGAGATTGTTATTCCGTATTGAAGAAGGTATAAAAATAATATCATAATTATAATTAATCTCAAAATTACTGATCTCGAAATAAAAGATTTAGCCACATGTATAAAATAAAAGAATTTTGCATTTTTATTCCGAAATTGCTATCCCACAAACTAAACGACCAGTAAGTATGTTCCTCTTGTTGTCATCGTGTACGTAGTGACAAACCCACCAATCAAGCTTAGCAGTTTCTCTCTTTCTTGTTGCAATCATTGTCTTGATTTTGTTGAAAAATTAGTAATATCTCAAAAGTTAATGTCCATCTTGGTTCGGGAAAACATTTTTCTTTGAAATATTATTTACATCTACTTATTATTTAGTAAGTTATTTTACAATTAATAGAGTCAAACTAGCTGTTACTAGCCGTTAACTAGCCAATGGAGCAACACCTATATAAATATGATATTTGGAGAGCTAAATACACACTTTCTAATACAACTTTTTGAATCATCGTCTTCCTTCTCCATGCTGGATTTCTTTCTTGAGTTTTCTGCTAGTTTTGTTCCCAGTTTAATAACTGGAAGAACTTGTTGAATCTTGGGAGATACGCCTAATTTTATTTATAACTGTATGGTGAAATATCCTTAAGGATAGTGTCCTTGACACGCCTCAAACTAATTCTTATTCTCCATAATCAATTTTTCCAACAATCTTAAGGATATTCCTACATTGTTCTTATGGAGAATACTGATTGCAATATTTCGGTTGATACTCCTACGCCTAGTACACAAACTATTCCAGTCATTATTCTAATTCAACCAGCGACATATAGGTTTTCCATCCATCTTTTTTTTTAGAGAAGGTAAAAGGTAAGATCTACATTGAGTATTTTACAATTTAGAAGCGGGTTGTACAATTGTATGAATGTTTGATACGATGAATTTTGAATACTTGATTTACTACAATAGGACTATACACTGTGAACGTTACTGAGTTAAAACAAAATTCAGGAAACTGTTAGAAGAATAAAGAAATATATAAAATAGTAAAGAATCAGAAATATTCCGAGTCCACAATTTTCTTGTGCGTCCTTAAGGAATTTTAACCCCCTCACACGTTGCCAAGGTAATGGATTAAATCCTCCCAGGATAAAACGGAATAAACCTTCCTGCAACAGTGGCAATACAAACTGCAGGATACCAACGAACTCAAAGAACGGAGCAAAATCACACTTACGAATTTGAGAGAGAGAGAGACTGCGAATTAGGATGCAGTATATTCAGAAAGAAAGAAGTTCTAGAGTTTTTTTTCGTATATGGAAGATGCAGCCTTACCTCATAATTTATAGGCAAATATCATAAGAGGTGTCTGGAAAGGTGCCTTTTCAGAAAATACGCGGCCTGCCGCGGTTCTACCGCGATCGCGGCCAGAGAGCTTCTCTGAATCTGACTGCCGTGATTCTACCGCGGCAGAACCGCGGCCAGTGAGGCCCTCTGAACGTTCAGCAGTGATTTGGAATTTAATTAATTATTAAATAATTAAATAAATTTTGTCCAAAAATAATCTTATCGATCATTTTCCAAATCCAAATCCAAATCCAAATCCGAATCCGAATCCGAAGCCGAAGCCGAAGCCGAAGCC